CAAAGACGACGTCATGGGATGCTATTATCTCGTCGGGAGTTGACGCCCTTGAGTTTTACCAGGAGGTGCGTTGAAGATACGGCTGTGTGTTCTGAGCTGCCCGTCAGCTTCTTTAAATAATTGGCAAGTTATTTAACCAGTCTCACATCCTTGACCGCCACGTCGGGGTCACCAATTTGTGGTGGTCAAGGATGTGAGATCGACTTAAAACCACGCACAATAAGTTCGTTTCGTCTACTGTCAGAAGGCAGGGAGCTGTTAGGACTAGTTTATTCTGTACACAGGGCAGGTTGCCGTAAGTTGGCGGTTTGCTTGCAACAGAGAAAAGCGTCCGTTCGCAGAGGGCGTCAGTCGCGGTGTGTCTTGTTAACGCGAGTGTGTGTGTCTAAGCTAGCAGGAGGGGGTGACTGTCTGCGTGGTGGTCGTGTGATTGGACTAATTAGGGGACGAATGGAGGGCGCGTACTCACAAGGCCTCACGGGAATCAAGCCAAAGCGTTCGACGCGCGTTAGGCGATACTAGTTTTTGAGTGCAGCCGGGGTTCACTGCAGCTGGGCCGGAGGTGTCCCAGTTCTAGCCGGCGGGGGTGGTCGTGCGTCAGCGGCCTGTCAGCGCTTATCGCGGTCATCGACCGACAAAACGGAGCCGGAGAAAAGGGGGGCTGGAGCGGCTGCTACAACCTCTCAGTTCTACAATGGCTCGTAGGTGAAAATTTCGTTTTTAGATTTTCGGCGAACCATAAAAACGCGCTAAGGCGGCTTCCTATTGTTTTATCTGTCTCCAATATTTTTCGGATATTTCGCGTTGGCTTAGGCTCTTAGTAATTTTGTCTAACAGTGCTTTCGTGAGATCAAAGTTGACTACTTTATTAGCCCCTGAGCTCTTGTCACGTACTCCGCCTCGTCTAAGTCAACGGTTGCCCATCCTTTGTTCCCCGGAGCAATGGCAATTTCTTCGTCCTTCTTCACTTTCGTAATGGCCTTTACCTCTGCTTACAAGATGGTTCGAGGTGGTTTGTAATATATGCTGAGAGACGCGACTCGATGACGAATCGAGTTCTTGGAGTCTTCTGTGGTATCCGTTGTTGAGAGTGTCACTTCTAGTGCAGCGATAAAATCCAGTGAATTTAAGTTTCCTTTGTTGTAACCAGATTAATGTTGAGGTAATTTACTTGTCCGTCTTTCAGCTGTTTGGATGACAGGCTGGGGGCAGAGGACGGCTCAGGCACGGTTGCCTGTGTTTGTTTTAGGTTACGCATTTTGCCGAGGAGTTGGGTCTTCTTGTCTTGCTCCCCATTCACCTCCATCAAGATTCCGCTGCTCAGGTTTCGCAATGTTCCCACCTCCAGATATGATGCACATGCCGTTTTCTCCCTTTCGATTTCTCTGCCGTATTTTTGCAAACGAATGTGACATTCGGCGACCTCTCGACCAAATTCGGTCCTAGCTGGTGGTCTTATAGAAACGCTCCTCGGAATAAGGTCCGACCTCAGGCAGTTGTGCAGAAAGACGAAATGTTCTCACGCACAGTCTGGAAAATAATCACAGGTTCGACTTTGACGATGTGCAAGTGCTCGGCTGAGTCGAAAGCATATTACAGAGAGAAGTAATCGAAGTCTGGCAACCGAAAGCCAACTCGATCAACCGCAGTATCGACCTGCCAGCGTTATACGAGGCCGTCAGGCACCACTTGAGTGCGAGAGAAGAGTCAATAAAAAGAGAGCGGTATGGACATATCAGGTGTGAGTACGAATGACCTGTTTAAAGCATTTATGTCTCATTTTCTCTATCTCCGGTGATGCGCACTAACACGAGTGCGAAACGCCAGATGATTAAATCTTCCTCCTCAGAGGTCGTCTTACCCTCTTCCTTCTTCTCAACAACCCGTTGTTCGGGTCCCTCATTAGAACCAACGCCTTGTGGCTGTCCCTGTTGTCTGAGACAATTTTTCACAAAACTGACCGGGTATCCGTTGAGTTGGAATAACCGATACGGGAAAGCAAGTTCTTTCTTAAGTAAATCATCCCTGCTGCAGTAGCGATAGGGCCGGTGGAAAAGGGTTCAGACACAACTCCTTTTATGAGCCGTAGGATGTTTGCTTTCATAATTAAGAATGACGTCAGCACTGGAGTCTTTCGGAAGAGGCGACAAGAGGCATTCTCCCCTTTCTAGACGTTAGATTCCGAACACTCAGTGATGGCGGCCTTGCAACGAGCGTCTACCGAAAAGACTCCAGTACTGACATTATTCTTAATTATGAAAGCAAACATCCTACGGCTCATAAAAGGAGCTGTGTCTGAACCCTTTTCCACCGGCCCTATCGCTACTGCAGCAGGGATGATTTACTTAAGAAAGAACTTGCTTTCCCGTATCGGTTATTCCAACTCAACGGATACCCGGTCAGTTTTGTGAAAAATTGTCTCAGACAACAGG